ACGACCCTCTAACTTTCAGGCAGGTGATAGAGTCTGGGTCAAATCATCTGAACTGGGTCAGGAGCTTGGCATATCTCGCAAACTGATGCCACAATACTTCGGTCCTTGGGAGATACTAGACATAGTCGGGGATCAGATAGACGGACCTTCCTATGTGATTCACATCCCACCTCAATTACGCACACACCCAGTTTTTCACGCCTCAAAGCTGGCACCTTTCGCAGAAACTGCCCAGTTTCCTCCCAGACGGTCAATGCTGCCCCCAACCATGGATGGTGAAGTTGACATCGAAAAAATTGTGGAGCATCGAGTGATGCCAGTGCCTAAACCCCCGGGCAGAGGCCGCCCTCCTAAGCCAAAAATGCAAAATCGTGTCAGATTCAGACATCATCTGGATCCCAGCGAGGATCGGTGGTTCACCAAAGAAGAACTCATGTGAACAGCACCTCACGTTATTGCAGGCTATGAAAGAGAACTTAAGGGGAAAATGCCTGCAGATTAGAAGACTTCTCATAGGACTATCGAAGAAAAGGAGGAGGGAATGCGAGGATCCTGGGTCCGCAGCAGGCCTAAGGGGCCCCTGCTGCAAATGTGCCCGCCCGGGCCTAACAAATCACGAGAGGCCCTCAGCTGTCAATTTCGTACTTGGGGCCCAGGCAGTTTCAACGCGCCAGCTGGTTGAGGGAAACACAGGCCGAGCAGCAAGACATTCCACCACCTTCCAGGCCTTTCCAAAAATGCAGGCCCTGGGTGAGAATCGCAGCCTCATACACAGGCAGTTGGAAGGCCCAACCGAACAGAGGCCCAGCAGCAGCATCGGAGCCTTCTGGGCCCAACCGGAAGCTTCTGGGCAGAGGCCCAGGCCAGCCAGGCCACCGAGAGAGGCAGTCTCTTTCCATATAGTGAAGAGCTCGCTGCCTGGCCAGGCATTCGACACTTGCATACTGGCGGCAGCGCTGCTGGAGCGGACGCTCGTGGGCTGCTGCTGACGTTGAGAGGCAAGGTGCTAGCGCGTGTGGTCGTGCAGGGAGCAGGGCGCTGCTGAGGGCAGCACCATAGCCCAGCCTCCATAGCTAGATGAGCTTGGACTACAGTGAAGCGCAGGGGTGGTCCTCGGGTGTACAGAGGGAAGACGTGGGAGTAAGCCAGGGGAGAGAGAGAAGGATGATGATGATGATGATGATGATGTGAGGGCACATACCTGGTATTAGCGATGTGGGCGACACCTTCAAGTACTTCGTGGGCTGCTGACGTCAACAGTTGCATTATCAATTAATAGGCAGACTGTAGCTGTGATGGAAGTAGGCTGGGCGCCGAGCGCCAAGTAGGGAGATAGGGCCTGGATACTCATGTTGGTGGTGGCGAGAGCGAACTCTCATTGAAATTGGTTTTCAGTGTTACGATTCTTCATTGGTGTTATATTGGTGCATTTCTGCTTTCTGGACACGGTAGTACTATCTGGCCTTAAATGTGATTGTGCATTCTGGACATTGTCATCTCGCTACTGCTCATTTTCCTTGCATTCATTACAACACCAAGGAATAAAATTGAAGTACTTCCCTCGAGCAATTCCCCATGAATGGAAAATACTGCATGCACATCGGAGCCCTTGCTGACTGAAACGAAAGCCTACACACGGGCCCCTCACGGGACCCGAGGTTGGAATAGGGCCCCCAGGTCGCGTCACCGCAACCTGAAGGCCCTATGGCATTTTTACTTGGGCCTGCATCAGAAAAACACCAGCTTTAGATTATTTTTATAGTCTTTATTTTATTTATTTGCTGCTGTTTTTCTAACGGGTGTACTGTTGTCCGTTTTGTGGCCAGGTACACGCTTCTAGGGCCAGGGCCAGGGCCAGATTCAGGCCCAGAGGCTGAGCTCCTAAAAACGTTTGGACCTTTTCTTTTGTTTTCGAACAGATTTTGACCTGTTCGAACCC